TATCTATCTATCTATCTATCTATCTATCTATCTATCTATCTATCTATCTATCTATCTATCTATCTATTTATCTATCTACCTACCTACCTACCTATGTCAAATGGTGGCCTTCTCTAGTATGGGCTAGGGAGGGAGGGAGACAGTTCCAAACTTAAAAGGTAACAAAAAAAAGTAATTTAATTTTTTTTTTTTTAAAGAGTATGGGGGCAGCTAGATGGCGCAGTGGATAGAGCTCTGGCTTTGAAGTCAGGAGGACCTAAGTTCAAATATGGCCTCAGACACTTGACACTTACCAGCTGTGTGACCCTGGGCAAGTCACTTAACCTCAACTGCCTCACCAAAAAGAAAAAAAAATATGGGGTTAGCCTTGGCAAGAAAAATGGATACTTCAGAGACAGAACTAAAGGAAAATAAGAGTAACACACAAAAAAAATACTTTTAGAGAAGAAGGAGAGAAGCTAAGGGATCTTGAGCCCCTATTTTGGTTAGTAAATTATCTACTGAAAATGACTGGGTAGTAGTGTGTTTGGGGATTTGAGAAGGATGCTTGGAACAACTACAAAGAATAGAATAAGCTAGAATTCAATAAGAAGCTAGCCCAATTAGTTCCAGTTAGCATATATAAAGAGCATCCAGCTGAGGTCAGATACCATTAATTTGTGGCAGACTCCATTAAAGTGGTTTTGTGACTTTTACCAGTCATGTTTGCCAACTTTGAAGCATAGGTCCAAAAAATAAATGGGTAAGGAAGATTACCCAGGATTGGGAATTAACAAATCTGAAACACTAGGAGACATCAAGTGAGCAAAGGATTCCAGGGTTGTGATCAGTGCATCAATGAAATGGCTGACCATAGGATCTACAATAGATAGACAAATGAAGTCAGAATGGGAGGTAGAAGAGGAAACTAGAATATGGAAGAACAGAGGGAGCAGAAGTAATAAAGACGAAGAACAGGTTCAACAGAAATGAACTTACGGAAGGACAGAGAAGTTTCAGAAATAAATTTACCAACAGTAATAGTGAATTGTATTCCTCATTTTAAATGAATCACTTATTCCAATGTAACATATAGGCACCTGAGTGGCATTAAATTTATTTAACATTATTACATGAACTACAAATAGCCTAAAACATTTATACTGTTCTTTAGCTACACTTCCAGAATGCCTATCAAACTCACAATTGTGTCTGTCTTCCCTTTGAGGTTATGGGTACTCATAGTTCTATGTGCTTACAGCACATAGAAACCTTCCTGTTTGCCAAAGATGCTCAAGAAATGGTTTTATTTGACAAAAGCTGCACTAAAATTCACTGTTCTTATCTCTGGGATCTTACATTTGAAAACTGCAACACTATTTCATTTGTTTTTGTTTTCATTTCATTTCATTTTGTTTTTGTTTTGCAGGATAAACGATATTTTTTTTTGCAATCATGCTAAAAGTCAGTTAACTTGTAACTAAGGTCATAATGATTTACAACCTTGGTTCTTAAACTTTTTTTTCCACTTCATGGGAAAATATTCTTTGATAGAAGAAACTACAACACTAAAAAGCACTGTGGACATGTGAATTAATACTACTAATACCTCATACTGATGCAGAATTTAAAGTTAAAAAAGATTTTGGATACGATTTAGGCTAAACCCCTTGCTTTACAGATAAAGTAACTGAGGCCCAGAGAGGTTAAGGTCATATAGGTATAAAGTTAAATCTCTCAAATTCCCCAGGCACATCTCTTAAGACTACAAGCTTCAGAAAAGGTGCTGATCTATGGCCCCCACTAAACAAACAAATAAATGAATAAATACATAAATATATGAATGAGTAAATTTACCCCATTCAGGACACACTTAGCAAAATTTGTGGCATACTTTTTAAGAACCACTTTTATAACACAGAACAGTGTAAGTAGAGTGTGGGATATAATGATGGCATCTAAAATTAGTTTAAAGCTATTAGATATTTAATGAAAGCAAAATTATTTTTTCCATTACATGCACGCAAAGAAAGAGCTCACTATATAGCAAACTGACCTTTTAATTTGAAAAGGGTTTATGAGGGGCAGAGTAGCAGTGTACAGTAACATATCTAAAAATACTTATTCAGCCAATATTATCTAGATTGCTGTGACAGTAAGTGGAACATATAAGTTCAGTATTTAAACTGAATTTCTTTTAAAAATACAGCATTTATTCAAAAATTAAAACAAAAAATAATTTTACTTTGATCAAAATAGGTTACCTTTGATCTGTCTTCTGCAGTTGTTGCCTTCTCAAAATGTGCAGCAAGAGCCATAAGCAGTCCCACAAACAAATTGTTTAGGCTAAAAACCTCTGCTGCAATGGACCACTGCCATGTTAGGCGAGAAAATGAAAACACCCCCGCAGCAAGGATTCCTCCAGCATACGAGCCAGAAAGCCTGCAAACACAGATAACATGAAATCTTCTTTCCCAACAAAAAACCCCCTATTTTATTTTCCATTTTCATATACTGTAGAAGCAGAAATTATGACAGCCACCCACTACCATTCCAAAACATTATATGGTTAATACATTACTTCTTGCAATCATTTTCTTCTACCAGATTTTAATTAGAACAGTCATATATTTGTCTACTGTGTAGCAAAGGGAAGACACATGGCTCAGTATATGATGGAGAGAACGGGCTTTATTCAGCAAACAGGCTAAAAATCTCTGGTGGTTGAGTCATTTTATAAACCTTGATAAGATAAATGGCTAGAGATACAGGAAACAAAACGATCATCTTTCTTGCTTTGTTTAACAAGAGGAATGATGGTGAAATGAACCTGAAAATGAAATGTGTTAAGTAGAAAATGTAATGAAATGCAAAACAAAATTATGAACATTCACTCTAGTTTCTAGAGAATATTTGAATCTAGATGGGAAGTATGGTTAATACCATTTGGAGATGGAAAACTTGGGGACAAGGAAGATTTTAATCCATTAATGTTTCTTCTCAAGATAGGACTTGTCTACTTGAAAGTAAACCACAATGTTAACAAAAGGAAAAAACTATGAATTTTAAAAACAAAAGAATCAAATTTTGCTCTTGGCCAAAAAAGAAGATTCCCTAGTGTTAAAGAGGATCTATATGCTTCAATCCAAGAATAAATCTGGATTGTAGTGAATAACTTTGGGAATACTAATAGATCTATATAAAATGAGATCATTATTCTGATTTATGACATGAAATGGCCCACTATGTGAAGACTAGTTCAAGGAAATATGGATATTTAGCCTGGAAAAGACTCCAGGGGGACATGATAGCTGTCTTCAAGCATTTGAAAGGTTGTCATGTGGAAGAGGGATTAGACTTGCTCTATTTAGACCCAGAGGGCAGAACTAGGAGTTAAGGGTATAAGCTGCCAAGAGACAAATTTAGGCTTGATGGAAGAAAAACTTTCTAACAGAGCTATCTGAAAATTAAATGGGCTGCCTTGGGACTTCATTGGAGGTTGTCAAGCAATGGCTGGGTAATCACTTTTTGGGTATGTTGTAAAGCAGATTATTTTTCGTGTTTGTGTTGGTCTAAATGGCAAATGAGGTCCTTTCAAATACTAATGTAATATTTCTTCAGGGATACTCCCCTAACCTGCACCCACGCTTATAGGTTGGGTTTGCAGAAGTGGCTGCTACTCCCAGGTTCCAGGGTATCCTTTGATTAGCTACTTATAAAACTATAGTTTGTAAAGACCATTAGTGTGCTTCCTATTAATAATCATCCAGTAGACATATTTTCTCAGAGAAAGGCATTTATTAAAGTGGTACAATAACTACAAAACATTTCCCCATAAAACGGAAACACACTCTGCCACAAATTCACATAGTTTCCATGGGAAGAGGGGCACAAATTTAAGAGTATGATGTCATGATGCACATACATAGAGAACACATTTGGCCAAAGAAATTCACAACTTTGTTACTGCCAAGCCCCTTCTTTCCCATGGAGTCCTCAAAGAGTTCCCCCAAGGTGTGGAATCTCTACCGGGTGGATTGTTCACCTGGGATCCCACAGTCTTCTACACAAGGCACAGTGTCTCTTGAAAGTGCATAGCCAGATCTCTTCTCGGCTGCCAGAAGTCATATTCCTTGAATGACTGCATCTCTGTATCTGAGCACATGATGCATGTGTTTCTGTACCTTCAAATGTATCTTAATCTTGCTGTAACTGACAATCCAGCTGCTGGATGGGGTGTCTCCTTCTGGCTAAGCAGTTCTGGTGCTAGTTGATATGACTGATGGAGGTAGTGGGGAGGCAAAAGAAATTCCTTCCTCCTCCACCAAAAGCTATTCCCTTTCAGGAGCCATATTCTTCCTCCATTGTGGGCTCTACAGCTGACTTTGACTTGATTCTGTAACAACCATGAAATCATAAGGTTGTCCCTTTGAATTCTCACTGAGAAAGGTATTCATACTTTCAACCATCAATTAATCAATAATCACCAATCAGCATCTATTACATGGAGGCCCTGTGCCAAGGACACAAAAATGAAAAATGACATGGCTCCTGCCTTCAAAAATAACTTCTAAAATGATTCAGTTAGAGTGGCCACCTTAATTTCAATGTTCAAAATGGAATTTATTATATTCCCCAAAAAAACTTTAACTCCTCCAAAATTCTCTATTTTTTTATTAATTTATTTGAATTTATCAATAATCACTTCCACAAGCTTTTTGTTTTAAATTTTTCTCCCTCTCCCTCCCAACATCCCTCCCCAAGATGGCACACAATCTGATATAGGTTATACATACATATTCCTATTAAACATATTTTCACATTAGTCATGTTGAAGGAAGAATTAGAACCAATAGGAGGAACCACCAGAAAGAAGAAACAAAACAGAATTAAAAAACAGCAAATAGTATGCTTCAATGTGCATTCAAGCTCTACAGTTCTTTCTTTCCATCACGAGACTTTTGGAGATGTTTTAGATCCTTGCATTGCTGAGAAGAGCTAAGTCTATCAAAGTTAGTCATTGCTCAATGTGGCTGTTATTACGTACAATGTTCTTCTGGTTCTGCTCACTTCACTTGGCATCAGTCCATACAAGTCTTTCCAGGTTTTTCTGAAGTCTGCCTGCTCATCATTTCTTACAGCACAATAGTATTCCATTACATTCATATACCACAACTTGTTCAGCCATTCCCCAATTGATGGGCATCCCCTGAATTTCCAATTCTTTGCCACCACAAAACAAAATTTTCTATTTCTATTGAGCATACCAATATCTCTCCAATTATAAGTTTCACCACCTTGAAGTCTTCCCTGATTTTTGTCCTCTCCTTTACCCTCAACATCCTTATATACGTGGCTTAATCCTATCAATTCTCCTTTCAGCATCTCCTTCTCTCCACTCATATAAGACCTACTCTAGTTTATATATGAACTATTGAATTCTTGGCTGAACAAATAGCATAATTTAATGGTCTCCAAATTTTTTTGATCAAACACCCTTATCAATAAAAAAACTTAGCATATCCAACAAAGATATATTTACTAGTAAATTATATACATGTTCTATTGTCATATTATATATATTATAAACTGTATAAACTGGACATTAAAAGGATTAAAGATGAAATAAACAGCATTTTAAAATATTCTCATTTTATTTACTTACATTATAAAAACATTTTTGCTCATAAAAGCAATATCATAAAATGTTTCATTACTTTCAAAAAATTTCCATGTATATCCTGGGGGACAGAATAGATTTGTAAATAATAATTGTTTGTTAGTTAATTTGTCAGTTAATTTGATCAATGTTGCTATTGAAATGTGTAGATTTCAGTTTTAAAGATATTTTTATTATCTGATTTCAACTCAGTAAGTTTTCAATATAAATCCATTCCTCTTTCCTTATACAATTCTGCTTAATAATTAATTAATAATTAATTCTGCCTAAATTTCTTATTCATATCTCAATATCTTATTTTTTTTGTTTGTTTGTTTTTGGGTTTTTTTTTTTTTTTTTTGGTGAGGCATTTGGGGTTAAGTGACTTGCCCAGAGTCACACAGCTAGTGAGTGTTATGTGTCTGAGGCCGGATTTCGACTCATATTCTCCTGACTCTAGGGCCGGTGTTCTATCCACTGTGCCACCTAGCTGCCCCATATCTCAATATTTTAGTTGTGTTTTTGTATGTGTGAGGAAGAACAAGCAGGCCAGTCTGGCTGGACTACAGAACTACAGAAGGAGACTAATAAAGTTGGAAATGTAGCCAGGTTATCAAGGGCTTTAAAGGCCAAACAGGGAATTTCATATTTGACCCTGGAGTCAACAGAGAGCCATTGGAATTTTACTGAGCAGAAGAATGACATAGTCAGACCTGCCCTTTAAGAAAATCATTGGGGCAGTTAGGTGGTGCAGTGGATAGAGCTCAGACCTTGAAGTCAGGAGGACCTGAGTTCAAATTTGACCTCAGACATTTGACACTTACTAGCTGTGTGACCCTGGGCAAGTCACTTAACCCCAACTGTCTCTCACCAAAAAGAAAAAAAAATCATTTTTGTAGGTATGTAAAAAATTAATTAAAGTAGGGAGAGACTTGAGGCAGGGAAACCAATTAAGAAATCATTTCAATAGAACAGAGAATGAGAGTCTGAACTGCAATCATGGTTGTGTGAGTAGAATGAAGGGAACAAACGAAAAAGATGTAGGTGTAAAAATGACAATATTTGACAACTGCTTGAAGGTAGGGTAAATGAAAGTGAGGAATTGAGTATGATAATAGGATAATGAACTTGGGTAACTTTAAAAATGGTGATGTGTTCGATAGAAATAGGAAAGTTTGGAAGAAGTATGGGTCTGGAGAAAAAATGATTTAATGAAATCTATGATACAGACTGTAAACTATACATACTTGTTCATCCTACCCAATTTGCTCTGTCCGACTCAAAATAAAAAAGTGAGTGGCAGGCTTCTTACCAGTTACCACCCTATAATGTAGAACAGATAGTGTGATTTTGGGGATAGGGCTGATTATATTAGGAGTGAAAAATTTTTCAATGATATCCATGTAGCTGCTGTAGATGCCTAGGCTGGGGTTTGAGCATAAGCATACTACAGGGCTAATACCCAGTGTAACTCAGATAGCTGCTCATGGTGGAGCAGGAAAATGTTGGGATTATAGTGGCTAAAGGGTATGTAACAGTCGTATAGGAGACAACCTCATGACTGGTTATTATGGGAGAGTGGGATGTGAACCATCTTCTGACCCTCTGATCACATACTCTATGAGGGTCATACCACAGCCCTTTTGAAGTCATGCTGTTCTCTCCTCCCCTACCCCTACATGAGCTATGGTCCCCACTGTGGGGACTATAAACCTAATTGACCTCTCTGCTTTCAGTTTCTCCATTTTTCACTCTATCTTCCACAAAGTTCCCAAATAGATAT